TCAATTATTTCATTATAAATTTTTCTCAGTAGATACTGATATGAAGGATCCATTTATTCCGGTATTAAGGTTTGTGTAAGAATTGTGAAATAAAATAAAATAACTAATCAATTTTCCATGATTTTTAAAAAAAAGCTGTTTTACAGCTGTTATTACACTACGAACGAACTGAATCCAATCGAGTAAGATATACAAATAGCACAATATGAACAAAACTGATAAAATAAATCAATAACTAAAAAGAAAAATGAAACGATGAACTAATTAAAAGTTACGGAGGTCAAACCTATAAAGATACTAAAAAAAAGAAGAAAAACATACTGAATAAAGAAAACGCATATTTTTTTTCTCAGAATCATAATTAAAGAAAAAAAGACAATTATTGATTAAATGTACGTTTTTATTTTTACAAAATACAATTGAGAATAAATTGTATATCTATGTCAATTAGTAGAAATTCTTCAATTATAGTTTACTCATAGAGTTTATTTCATGTAATCATTAAAGAAAAAAAACAAAACAAAAGTGTATACAACTTCAAGGAACTAGTTCTATTGAGTTGGGCTTTAAATAAACTGAATTAAGTTAGTTAATGGTATTGAATGTTATTAGACTTTATACAACGTGTGGATCTTTGAAAGGATTGAGTAATAAATAGTCATCCTTGGTAACATAATTCATGTATACTAAACAAGAATGAAATTACACTATGGTTACCATTGTATGTACTTAGGTTATTTATTAAACTAATTAATCAGTAGGAACTAATAATTAGGAACCAACATATAAGATGGTACATAATAGCATGGTTTGACGTGTTGCACTTGAAAAATAAATAGTTTCATTTTGATGTTTATATATGTAAAGATAAACAAAATAAGAGAAAAGATGGATTGTGTCTAGCAGTGAAATTTAGGACGTACAATTCGTCGTATTTGGGACTTATTAGCTGAATGTATCTAAATCCAAGTATTGATGTACCCAGAAGAAATAAATGGGCAAAAGCTGGAAAGCATCCAATGAATGATTAATAAGCTATTTATTTTCAAGACATAAAATTTTTGTGAAATGTTTCATTATATCTACATTAAATAGAAACTATTATTCAGATAACAATTACACTAACTAAATTAATGAAGATTTGTTCAGTCTCCTTGAAGTATAATTTGAGGACCAAAAATAAAAGATTTATGACTAAAATAAATGTTGTTATCTTTATCTGGCCATATTTCTGATGTAGCTTACTCAGCTGATCAGTAACGATAACAGAATCCCCACTTTACTGGTGTTTACTTGATGATTTTGTTGTGAAATAACGCAACATCAATCGTTGTTTCTACAGCATTCTTTAACAAAAGATTTTTCACCTCCAGAAGGTAAAAATATCATACAAAAATCTACTGTTATACTAACAACGATGTCATTGGGAGCATACAGCGAAATAGGAACTTAAGAGAGGAAGCACACAAGCAGAGAGTAGCAGAGATTATATTTTTATTATGAAATGTAGGTTTTCTTTGACCTGCATATTCGTCAGAACTACAAATTAATGGTAGGTTGAGAGGTTTCTAGCAGTTTCAATATACATTACCTTAGTTTCAGTGATAAAACTGATTGAAGTCCGTGCTCGATTAAATTTAATTTGAACCACGAAGACTGGATCAAAATGTAATAAGTATCGCTAATCAGACCATTCAGAAATGTATTTTGTGTGTAACTAAAGGTTTTGAACAAACACATTGAAACCTAAGACGAAAAGTATGAACGGAAACACTATTTTTCCTAAGCATTGAAATATATATAGTAACCTAATAGATAATTTTAACGAACCATTTGAAATATATTTAATCCGAGAATGATTTTAGTCACAAACTGACATCAACTTCAAGAATATAAAAAGGTAGGATGCACTGAACAACATCTTCTTTTAGTTTGAGACCTTTTACTAGTATGCTCTTTTGCATACTTACATGATATTAAACATAAATATGATCTTCAATCCTCACAGAAAACGAGATTTTTCAACCAATGAATCTGAATCCACTTGTTCATATCTTCATTTTCATTCACAGTTGACCGTTGTCCAATAGGGTAATACTGTGGTGTGTGCTACTGATGTCGACAAATATAAGTAGTATGCGTCATCAATCAAAAGTAGGTAGAAGGTTAAGAAGATCGAAGAGAGAACGAGAACAAAGAATTATTGGTGTGGGGACGAAAGAACAATGAAGTCTGAGACGACTGATTAACATCTCTCAAATGAAATATTTATTGTATGATTCTTAGATTTTACTAAGCGATTCTGTAATTTTGTGTTAAATCACTTTCGATTGTCTCTACTTATCTTCTAGTTCACTACATTACTAATAACCGTCTTACTTAATTTATACTTAGTTGACAACATAAGTTATGGCTTACTATCGGAAACTCAGGGAATTCATTCCTAAACCAATCATTAATAAATATGAGATAATTTTTCATTGTGTTGTTGACCATACATGAATTTTATGTTTGAATACTGGATATTTGGAATAAATAGTATTTTAAGTTAAATGCTTTAATCTAGATAGTTTTATTGAATAGTCTATTCTTCTATAAATAACGACTTTCCCTTTGAAGGGTGAAAACAACACATTAAAAAGGATGAATGTCCCATTTTTTTTACTAATTAATTAGGAAACGAAAGCTATTGTTCCATGTTGTATAGATGACTGTTGGAAAGTCACAACATTTATTTTTAGCAAGATTTTACGTTATTCTTTGATTTCAGTTAAGGCTATACCTATATTAAAATTACAAAATCACATTATGAATAGATTTTACTTCAGAGAATATGATTTAAATGGTGTTGAAATGTTGTTTCTATAGACGATGAACATGATCACTAGGAATATGTTCTGATATATAACAATTAATATTATGATATCCTTTGAAATTTTGTAGCCTTTGTGTTGCGATTGATTATTGAAATTTTTACTGTGCTAAACGATATACGCATTAAGAGTCAGTGAAATCCTGTTAACCAGAAAATCAACGAAAAAACCATCACTCAAAAATGACCATTTTAATTAGTGACAGATTATTGATTATGCGAAATCTGGCTATAATATATTAGCTTCCTTTTATGCACTACATATTACTTGAATTAATGATGTATTTCAAATAGGTAAATGACTCAAATGTTTCAGCTAAGTTCTGAAAGTCCTAACTGATGAAAAACGTGATAAGCCCTAAAGAGTACATATTTACAATGACGCGAAAGGGTTAATAATATTCAAGAAACCAGTGTGCATTTTGAGAATATTCGTGGTCACGTACAAACACGTTTAAAAATACCCAAAAATTTATTTTAGGTTTGGAAGATATATCCAAGCCATAGAGAAGTTTAGTCATAATCACTGCTGTTTCCACAGCTTTTCCTGAGCCATTCCACGCCGCCTCGGGGTGGGCATCACTTAAATCGCTGCCTTACTGTTTTTCTAATTGTTCCTGAAATATATTCTTAGCTTGACTATCATTAAGTAGCACCCTGAGAGGTTTCCTTGTAGCATCTTTTCTACGTTCAGTAAGAAGTAAACAAATACGCACTCGCACTAGAGCATGATGTGAATTTAATCATGAGCGACAGTCTTCCATCAAGCCCCACGATCGGTGAAGAAGCCGACAAAATGCATTCTTCTGGCCACTATAATCAACAATGCGAGCATGTTCGGGATGCGATTCTCCCTCTCGAAATGCAAAATGTTGCTTCAGGATTGGGTGGCATCGACACCCGAACTAATGACAAGGAGTGAAGTAGTTGAGCGTGTCGACAGATACACTTATCTTGGGAGTCTCATCAGCCCTTGTAGTCTGGTGTGTGACGAAATCTCAGCACGGATACAGAAAGCTCGACTAGCTATTACCAACTTGCGTCATTTATGGCGTAGGCGAGATATCCGTCTATCAACCAAAGGACGTGTTTACTGCGCAGCAGTTCGTTCTGTCCTACTTTATGGCTGTGAAACATGGCCGGTAAAAGTAGAGAATATTCGTAGGTTACTAGTATTTGATCATAGGTGTCTTCGAAATATATCTCGTATATCCTGGGACCATCGAGTAAGTAATGCAGTTGTTAGGAAACGGGTACTAGGTAAGGATGGCAAATCAATTGATGAAGTAGTGAAACTTCATCAGTTGAGATGGCTGGGACACGTGTTACGTATGCCCAACCACCGACTGCCTCGATGTGCGACGTTTTTTTGCACAGGAGTAGATTAGAAGAAAGCTAAGGACGGCCAGACCAAAACATGGCATAAGTCTATGAAGTCACTAACAAGTGGACTGAGCCATGTTGGTAGGTGTAGACTACCCGGTTGAGATCCGCGAGATGATAGCAACCAATGGTTGGAGACCTTGAATAACATGGCTCAAAATCGCTTGCAATGACACAGGTGCATCCACTCTTTGTGTTCTCCAAATTCTAATCTTCTGAATTCTTCCTGTCCCTTTTTTTTCCTTTGCAAATTTATTTCAGTGGATTATACTCTTTAAATAACATCGTCAAACCCTAATCTTTCCGATTACCGCTTATACTCTTAATACCTCTACCACTTCGGAATTTGAGTCGACAACTGCATCTCTGTGCTAATGTATGTCAACTCAAACTGATGTACGTACTTACGATGTTCTACGTTGTTACTGGGTGACTGAATTGTTTACTGACTTATAATTTATAACCTCCCCTCTCCTAAACTATTTACTGATCAAAAGTATCATATTCACTGTTGGTCCCAAGATATATTTACACAGTATTCAATTCGGAAAGACTTTTTCTTATTGATTACTGTTATTACCAACCAATTAAAAAATAATGAAATTATATAAAATTTGGATTTTTAAAATGAAACAGTAATAATTCATGTAAGGGAAATAAATATATAAAAATATCCTAAATAATGATTGGATGATTTCAATATTAATATACTTTTAAACTTTTACTCAAATATGTTACCTTATTGATGTGAACACGTAAACACATTAGAAAATATTATGTGGTCATAATAGTTTCTATTCGTTAATCATTTTCTTATCAGTCAAAATAAAGAGGATGTCAATTTCATTATTGTACCACCCCCTTTCATAAGCATATATATATAACAACAACATTAAGTATATTACTGTTGTGATAATTATTATTAATTTTACTTATTTAGAATAAAAAATAATTTATGTTTGCTGATAAGTAACAAAAGGATAGTACAGCAAAACACAATTTCGTAGAAACACATTTTCAAAAGACTAAATCTTAATTAATTTTAACAAAAATCAATTAATAATAATAACTATGAGACAAAAGTCTCTACGAAATTCTAATCGTTATTTCCATTTTCAATGGATCTGTTCAATAATGATTATAATTATAACTGTAATTATAATACCTAACAAAACATTTTCAATGACTATACAACATAGTCAAAAACCAAATGATTTCTATGGTGTTATTAATAATGATGATAATGATGCTGATGATTCAACTCTTAGCGCTAATAATAATTATCAAAGATATTTGAGTGAACAATCATTCAATCCATATCAACATGAACTAATCAAATATCCTAATAGTATTACATATAAACGTGGTCCAGCTCCTTTAGCAACATCATTTAGAAATTCACCATCATTTTCATTTAATGGTGATATGCGTTCAATTTCTAATTTAAGACATATGATGTCTGGTGCTAATCCATTAACAGCATTTGGGTAATTTGATTTAATTAATGTTCATTTAAATGAGAAATGGAAAACAGAATTTTTTATTAAAAAAAAAGAAAAAAACATCTTGTTAAATTAACATCAATTTTGTTATTCATAAGAGAAAAAAACAGATTGGCAATCAATAAAATATTCCTCCTAGTAACTGTTTGTTATAAAGGATACTTTGAAAAAAATACAGAAAATAAATGAAATAATAAATTAATGAATAGATAGTTTCTTTTTTTGTTGTTGCTTTAATCATATTTTGAGTAGAAATGAAAGTATAGTAGTGAAGCAAAGGGTAATAAGGAAAAAGTTTGGAATTGATTTAGGAATTATACTTTTAAATGTACTTTTAATGCTGATTTGTAAGTAACATTACCAGGGTTTAAGTTGATAATTTTGAATAAATTAAGCATTGAATAGATTGTTATAAATAATAAACTATACATTCGTTGTAATAATTCAATAATTAGAGAAATTAGATTTTCTGACGTTTCATGATTCAGTGTAAGCCATTTGTTATTCTTTGAAGAAGTGTCTTACACTGAGTCAGGAAATTTAATTCTTCTACTCATTTGGATATTACAAATATCTTAATTTATTTGTAATGCTAATTGTTTAAATGAGTAAAAAAAACCGAATCAAACAAGTAATAGTTAACAAAAAAACATTCTAAATAAATGATAGGATACTATGATTACTCTAAAGAAAGATGAATAGCAGCGTAGCAGTGATTACTGTTTTGTGTATATATTTTTAAAAACTTTCTTTCCAAATAACATTCCTATGCATTATGTTAAGCAATTCTAATAGTTTTCTATCATTTAAATTGTTTTTCTCAAGTCAAAGAAATATATTAGAAAGTTCCAGGAAAGAAATTTATTTACAATGAGCATATGAGAATCACTGAATATCTTATTTTATGAAACTATTCTAGTTGTAAGGTAGTCAAGGCAGCTTTTATTGCAAATGTACACCAGTTGAATAACTTTCTGAAACTAAAAAGTGATAAAAAGCTGTTTCCTGTTAGTTATAGACAAATTTAGTATTCTCATCTTTAAGCTCAAAAAAGGGCTTAATCTAAAGCATTTATAACACATAGTAAGCAATAATAGCTTTACAGTTCTGTATGTGAATATATGATGGTTTACATTTGCAGCTTGATAAGTTTGCAAAATATACCGTGATCATTATCTAACATCATCATTTGTAGTTGATTCATTGACGACATAATAAACACTAAAGTTCAAATTTAGGAATACATCTAGAAGCTAATCGGCTGAATGTTCATGATTATTCTCTAGATTGCTAGTACATTAATACTTATTTTCATGAATGGATCAATGTTAGACCACCATTAAAAACTTGAAAGCACTGGACGGCCATTTCGTTGTATCCCGGCTCAGTGGTCTAGAGGTTAAGCATTCGCACACGAGACTGAAGGTCATGGGTTCGAGTCCCCTGTGCGGAATAGTGGATGCGCACTGCAGAGGAGTCCTATACTATTACGAAGTGGTCGTCCAGTGCTTTCAGGTTTACAATGGTGGTCTAAAATTGGTCGATTCATGATCTCAATTAAAACTCATTCATTTCTACAATCATATACTGATACTTATTTTCAAGTTAATATCAGCTTGTGACCAACGAATTAGCCTACCCCCAAACTTATTTATCTAAATAATACTCAATAAACAAAAACAAAAACGCTGGAACTATTCAAAATGAATCGGATATAAATGAAACAAAAAACGGAAAGTTTTCTCAAGATAAATACAGTATATCAATAAAAGTATGATACATTTAGAACTTTAGTTAATTCACTTTTAGTGACAATTAACCGATATATGTCTATAATAATAAATGAGAATTCATTAGGTTTCATTCATTTCCACTAATAATGATTTCATTCCATTACATATCACTACTTCATTGGAATCAATATATTTCTATATTTTTCTTTACTGTTACACATAAATTAAAATACTACGCTAATAATAGTAGGTGTCGTTGTTATTGTACATGTTGATGTGACATTTGTTAATTCATTAGCTTTAATACACACCACAAATACATATATGGTAATGGTTATATTTATAAATAACATTTACAATATACAATCATAACGCGTATTGATCACTGAATTCATTAAAAGGTAGAGAATATACATACATATATGTATTTGAAATGATGATGGATATTCTCAGCTCAGGTAGGATTTAGAACAACATATATAAGCGAACAATTTTGTCTACGATTAGATCCTCATCAGGCTTTACTCTAATTTTATAAATGTTATCTCATTGTCTATATTTTTTCTAATCATTGACCTGTTTCCGATTATGTTACATCGATTTAAGCCTTTATTATTCTCATCAAAACTAGTACACCTGTCATCATACTATTAATTTGTACTTTTCACTTATTATGTAACCTTTCTTCGTTTTTATCATTGACTCATAAACTACCTTGATTGGTTTATTAATTTCATATATGCATATAAATATTACTGTATATTAGAGTAAAGCCTGATCAGATAGGATTTGTCAAATTAAAGGAAGAAAGTGTATAACTTGGAGAAAATACTTTCGATTTGTCGTACTAAATGATACAAAATTATAAATAAATTAATTTTTTTTTCAATTCACTTGGTATCTTCCCATGGTTGTTAAAGATTGCAATTAATCAGTCTGTTATTGACATATGTGCATCCTGTAGCGATTGCCTCGATATTGTCTAAATTCACAAGTAATATAAGCAAAGATAGATGGTGTTTAGCAATGGAATCTAGGACGCACATTTCATCCTATGTGGGACTGGTCAGCTAGATGTACTTGCATCCCAGAGTTGATACTCACCCCGGGACTTGAACCCAGTACCGTTCGCTTCAAACGACATCGTGTTACACATTAAGCTGATCAACTGCAGTCCCAAACAGCAATGGGAAGATTCAAACAAGCAATACCAAATTAATTTAAACTTCACCCCATTGCACAAGCAAGTGGTTATCAGGACTCGGTAGATAAGTGGATAACGCGATGGCGTTTGAAATGAACGGTACTTGGTTCGAGTCCCGGAGTGAAAGTATATCCAGCTGACGAGTGCCAAATAAGATGAAACGCACATCCCGGATTCCACTGCTAGCCACCGTCCATTTTTTGCTGAACTTTTTTGCCCAACTTGAAACTTTCCTGAAGAATATATTATCAAATGATATAATATATACAGAAATAATTTATTTCCTAGTTTCGTATAGTTTTATCAATGTGGATAATTATTTTATCAAAGAAATAAATATAAACTGAAAAAAGGAATTACAACTTTAATCGGTTAACTTTTTTTAGATCAACTAATGAAGAGAACAGAATATTTTAATTCTGACAACTAGATAGGCATAATTAACTATCCAATAAGTTAGTATGATTTTTGACAATGATGGGAAAGATTTACAGCTCAGAAAGAGGATTTTATAGGTGATCTTTTCTCTAAACAAACAATTAAGGTTTTGCAGTAATGCTAATCAACACATAGAAACACACAAGATATACATAACTATCTTTAACAATATATTCGGATAAATAATTCAGTAAAATTAGAGGGTGATAACAAAATGGGGAGAATTTAATAGATTTACATGTTGATATATTATAACATTAACTAAGACAGATATAGTAGTGCACAAATGTTCAATCTTCAGACAGGTCGATAGGCATAGCATGAAAGATCTATAGAAATATTTGGAGAATTTCACTTGGGAAATATTCAATCTTCAAGTATACCTTTCTTCTAATTTCAAAAAATATACAGGTGAATAACAGGGAGCATTAAATTGATACCATACTTTGACAAAGTGGTTTCTGGTAGAAATCATGTGAATAATCATAAAAAGCTATTCACCTGTGAAAGTGTTAACACAGGCAAAAGAATCATACGAATCGCCTTTTGTTAGATTGATGACCTTAAGTTTTCAGTGATTCATTTATAAATTACAGTAAGAATTCTTTTTTGTAATGGTAAGGTCTGTAATTGATCAGTTTACTTTGGCATGTGTGCACCCTAAGAGGATTGTCTCAATATTCCCATTTAGTCAAAAAAAATTTAGTATACGGGTTGTGGAGATTATTAAGTTTTTTTATTGAGATCATGAACTTAATAATCTCCACCACCCCTATACTAGTAATCAACATGTGCTCACTAGTGACTAGCTTCTTGATGGAATTCTCGGAGTTCTAGTGAGAAGCCGTGATCAGTGGAGCTAATCCATGTCGGGTAGAGACAGGTATCTACCTCAATACAATGGAAGTTAGTCGCGCAATTTCGTGGATTGGTTGATATTAGACACTATAACCATTGAATGCCGGCTCGGAGGTCCAGTAGGTTAAGCGTCTGCGCGCGAGACCGAAGGCCCTGGGTTCAAATCCCGCGAGCGGGATCGTGGATGAGCACTGCTGAGGAGTCCCACAATAAGGCGAAACGGCCGTCCAGTGCTTACAGGTTTCCAAAGGTGGTCTAACACCAATCGGCTCATGATCTCAATCAAAATTTTGTTATTAAAGTTGAATATTGGCTATCAATTGTATTTAAATAAAAGCCTTCACCATCCAAATTCACACCGGTTACAGAAGCTGATAGCTAACTGAATTCACTACTTCTGTGGATAAAACACTGACGCTAGAAACGATAGTTATGGTATTCGAGTCTCCAAGTGAACAACAACATTGAAATATAGGTAATCCCAAGTGATGAGTATCGAATAAGATGAAATAAGCGTCCTGGATTCTCATACTTATCATAAACCAGTTTTAATAATATACTTTAAGCATTACTGCAGAAACTATTTCATTCTAAAAACAATCATGATCAATTTAACAGATGAAGTATTAACAAAAATATGAATTATAAACTTTTCTATTTCATTAATTATTTATTTTAAGTATTGCTACTGAACGTTGAATTTTCAAACAAATATGTAACTAATTCACTTGGTATTGTTTGGCTTGTATCTTCCCATTGAGGTTTAAGACTGAAATTAATCATTCTGTTATGGCATATGTGCATACTGTGCGTATGCCTTGATATTGCCTTTATTCACAAGCACTTCGTGAGCAATGATGGATAGTGGCTAGCAGTGCCAATAACAGACTGATCAATTGCAGTCTTAAACCTCAATGGGAAGATACAAGCCAAACGATACCATGTGAATTTAAATTCACCCCATTGCACAAGTAAGTGGCTATCAGGACTCAGTAGATGAGTGGATAACGCGATGAAGTTTGAAGCGAATGGTACTGGGTTCGAGTCCCAGGGTGAACATCAACTCTCTGAGATGCAGGTACATACGGCTGACGAATCCCAAATAGAACGAAACGCGCGTCCTGGATTCCATTGCTAGCCAATATTCATCATTGCTTACAAAATATGTGACTAAGATTAAATTGAATAATATCAGTATTTAAAATATGAATATAGAAAGTGACAGTTTATTCTACATAAACTAACTCTATAATCAAGATATTCTTTTCAAAAAAGATTACTTATAACAGATTCTATTGATACTACTAATTTTTGGCATTAGTTCAAGAGATGATTCTTACTCAGTTAAAAGTAGATCTAAACAAAGAAGTTATTTGTTTTATTATGTATAAGATACAATCAAAAATTTACATTTATATTTATATCTATTGGAAAATTAATATTTCAATGGAGATTTGATTGTCAAACTGGACAGAAACCATATTTCAATTGACGATTAATCTTAAATAACGTAAAACCTGGCAAAATGGCCATAATTGACTTTAAAGGGAACAAACGAAATTACGAGTTAGAAAGTATGAAGTAATACTCAACTCAAGATAAAAAGACTCATCTACACTGATTTTGAGTCATATCAACAAAAGAATCTAACCATCGATACTGAATATTTAGTCGACTCAACAAGAAATTCTAGATTTTCCAGTAAGTTCGGATTATCGATTAATGATATCAAATTGCTGTCACTGTCTAGGTTTGGTCGCTAATATTTTTATTATTATTCAACTTTTAAGTTATCCAGAACAGCACATTGAGGTGGCTGTGCCTGAGTAGATATCTAAACCACTGCAATCGATGAACGTTCACAAAATAATTGACCAATTAACCATGATTCTCATTTCATTTTTTTAAATTTAGCGGAATGAAGACAACTGCATGCAATTGTAACATGATAATCTAGATACATTTATTGCATTCGTGAAAATATTCCCTGTTAAATTGATATACGCATTTTATTTCATTAATGTTTTGGTCAAATTTGTAAGATCAATTAATTATTCCATTGATGTATACTTTGAGATTAAATCAACCTTAATGCACTTTGTCCTTGTATTATTATGCATACTACAATGTTAATATCTCCCACGTGCAAGAAGACTGTTTCAGACACTACTTTGAAGCCAAATAAACTACAACAGCAACAGTGAAAAAAAATAGGGGTAAAAACCTATGGAAAATAATAAAAAAATTTAAAAAAAATTGTTGTAGCTTTTTAAGAAAAACAAGTATGGTTACTTGTTATAACTTCGGAGAAACCCAGTTACTTGCTATTACAATGGAACAAGACTGGTGTTGCTTAATGCAAGGAAGAACGTATAGCTGAAGTCTTTAATATACTTTATCCATAAAATGATCAACAATTAGATATAAAATAGATGTAACGTGGCTAACAGTGATATCCAGGATGTACGTTTCGTCCTCTTTGGGAATCATCAGTTAGATGTACCTGCACCTGATCAATTCAACATCATAATGGCCATGTCGAGGCAATCCATACTGAATTCCTATATGCCAACCATGTATAATGAAATTTCAATCAGACATAACGACGAGATAATTTAAAACTCTTCAAATTGACTGAGTTATATTACAAATATAATGAATTATACATAATTTACTTAATTAGTTCATATTAAAATTTGAATATTGTATACATATATATATATATATATATAGCCCAAAGATCATTGCCTAATAATATTGTATAATCAAAATATTAGCAATCCTGCTTATATACAATGTGAAATATGCTTGGGGTCATATTATAAATTCTAGGCGGCCTGTTTGAATATCTGGGCTTCCTGTTCCAACCATCTAGATATTTCGACATGTTATCTGTTTTCTTGTTTGTTTTAATACATCATTATGCCCATTAGTCGCATAACCTATTCAGGTGCGTTTGTGGCAAGCTTACGACATTTCGCTGTATAAGTTACAAAAGAACCCAATAAGAGACATTATGGTTGTTGGCAATATGCATCGAAAAGAACATACATTGATCAGATATCGAACCTTCAACTACTAACATCTAACTGGCGACCACTCAATATTTATCTCTAGGATCAATCAAGAAATAAGAAAAGGAAACTTGTTGAAATACTTTGTGCTGAGAATTCTATATTGTGCCAAAAATATACTATTGAATAAAGCCAATAGTAAAAATAATAATAATAATAAATGATTCACACTCCTATGAATAATACTGAGTGAGAAATAAGCTACACTCATCAAAGTAGGTCTCCTTACTGTAACACTGACTTTAAAGTTATGAAACTGATAGTCGAACTTGAGAAATTCATAGACGAATCCTAGAAATACTGTTCACACATATATTTTATTACCTTTCTAATGACAAATTGGTACGTTAATGTATGATTGTTGGAAAGTAAAGGTATCAAAGTCAATTGAAGAGTTGTCCGATATAGTTTTAGTCCTTACAGTTGATTAATCATTGACTAATAACCTATCTCAGTCAATTTTAAATACATGTCAGTCCTACAGGAAGTCCGTCGTGGCCCAAATAGCAAAGTGGTAATATATATGACTATGAAGCTGAGTGACACAGGATTCAATCTACCATGGAGCACGGATTACAGGTACACCTTAGTGACGAGTGCCAAATAGCATGAAACTTAAGTCCAGGGTTTCATATAGACTATTTCAAATCAACACTACACAGTTTTAGTGTATATGACAAACATTTAACACTTTAAAAAAACTAGACAGATTTTGTTTCTGTTTTGCCTACACAATTATTCCAGGAAATTTAGCACTAAAGGGAAGCTTGCCGTTTCAAAAAAATACTAGAGAAAAATAATGTTTATTACTATACAGACATAAAAGATCTTCCTGAATGCAGTAATTGTAAAATAAGACAACTTCATTTTGACGAAACCAATACAACACACCCGTGTGTATGTGTGTGCCATTTACGTTTGATGAGATATATATTATATGAAATAAAAAAGAGAGATAACGACAAACACTTGTGACACAATGTTCCTCTTTATTTGTAAAGAACAGCAACGTGAAAGTTCGACCCAGTGTATAATCACACACACACACACACAAATACAGTATGTGTTGGTAATAGTAGTAGTAAAGAAAGAATGAACTTTACAATCTATAGACATTGATGTCTACAAAACAAAAAGAAAGCAAAAGTAGAACTAAAAATAAATTGAAAATAAAGATAGTGGAGGGACAAAGAAGGACAACGAAGGGCAGTGAAAAGAAAAGATAGTAGATAATTAATTTATCACACAACAGGAAAATCTGAAGAATAAATAAATATTCCAAAGTTTACCGACTTCATTCATTGCTCCAAATTACATATACAAATACATTACAGAAAAATTACACACAGAAATAGTAATTTTAAACCCTTCTATGTCTAATATAAAAAAAGAACAACAATAATAAGCCTGTTAAAAATGGTATTGCATAAAAATCCCAATCCATAGTTGATAATAAATGTCCAGATGGATGAGATGATATTGTTGGTGTTTCTGTCGAATCTGTTACACTATCTACCTCATGTTCATCTGTAAATGATCTACTACCAAATATACTTCCAAGATATTGAAACTAAAACAGAAGGAGAAGAACAACAATGATTTATACGATAAAAACTTCCAATGATCTGTTTTTCTTTTAACAATTAAGATAAACAGAGTCAATAGATAATATAGCTAATGAGTTTATGAATAAGACTTTTTTCTTAAATGTGAATTTATGATTTGATCCTCAACAATTGTTGTATGATTGAAGCTTCTAACATGAGTGGATTGATTGGAGTAAATGTTTAAACTAGACGTTAAGATAATTATAATACATTAAGTTAAATTATGTGATGTAATCAGTAAATTATAAGTCTATTATTGATAAGATGATAATGGTCACATTTATTACTTCCGAACTTATTTGTTACACAGAAATATCTTAGCAAAAGTAATGAAGAATATTTGTAATTTAATTTCTGGTAACTTTTCTAATAACTTTATCACTTAAATATTATGCCATTTGAAGATAAACAGGGAAAATACAACGTTTATTAATGCTGAATTTCGGCATAACTATTAATCTCAAATATAATTACACAGTATGTATGAAAATATTTGCAAAATAATTGAGACAAATTGAATTAAGAATATGAAATAGTAACAAATTTATTTTGTTTCATCTACTTAGCAAGATGCTTATTTAAAAAAAAATACTTTATGGTTAGAACTTCACAATTAAAACTTGTTTACTCTAAAATATATGCAACATTAGAGTAACGTTGGACGGTTCGATCTCTGACGGACTATGCATGGAAAATGTTAGTTCCTTAAAAATGGGATGGAACAAATATAAAGCGCACTCAGTATTATAATATTATCCTTAATAGATGTCTGTCCATGACGAATACCACCTGTGTACTCAATAGATGTTGACCAATTTTAATGAATAATTATCGATTTTTGTAAATGCTTAGTTGACGAAAGCATAACATTAAAAGTGACCTAAAATTATTGCTTAAAACATGCATCAATTATTTGAGAGTGAAAACAATATACGTTTCAAAAATTTAAAGTAATTTAAGTAACTTACGAAACTTGATTCACCGAAAAATTCCATAACGAAATAAAATGAAAGACGTATAAGAGCTAGGTATACAGCTACTCGTGCGTCGATCGATGCTTCAGCGGCCATGTCGTAAAACCTTTTGGCTAAGTAAAGATCCTGAAATAGATCAAAAAAGAATACTATTAAGGTTACCAATTATTATTAGTAACAGTAGGCTGGAAATCCGGCAACATAACCTACTAATTCTAACGTTTTAGTAGGGATTTGTAATGTGTAGAGTCAAGCACGCTCGTAAGTAGGTGCTGGCTTTTGACATTCAGTTGTGGTTACATTCTATTCGAAACGACTTGTATTTGTAAAACTTGAATCTCTGAGTTGCGAATCGACGGTTTCTATGACATTCCAAGAATTCGAGGTCTCAGAGATATATTCCCCGTCGAGTTGTTGGTACCCATCTCTGATTAACTCCATAGATAAGAAAACACAGCTGTCTAGTGTGCTCCGTGGTTTTTATTAATTTACAGCTGACATCAATCGGTGATGAATATTGATAAACAAAAAATGTGTTAAGTAAATCTATGGATTAAATGCGTGAGCACGAGTAACCCTCAGAAGAAGTAAAAATCAATAAAAATCGAAGTAATAAAACTTATTTCCAGCAGTATTTAGGTTGCAATTTGCTGAAATGTAGAGAGAGAGTCGACATTCAATTTTTATTAGGTTTGATTTAATTTATCAAACACAGTGACACACTTTTTTGGCGAATCAATAAATATTTCTTTAAATAAAACTACATTTGTGCACTATGATCTAAACTAATATAATTGTATGAAGGTTAATGACGGTAATAACTGACTGACCCGACCTTGGAAAAGGTTAGAAAGTGCGACATCGAAAAGATGGACTATCAATAATGAAACTTGATAATCACTTACAGGTTCGTTTGAAGGTTATATACCGACCAATCTCAAGAACAAAATTAGGTGTTTAAATTGTCCAGTTATAATCCCGTAAGAAACTTAACAGTCCTAAAACTTAAACAGAGTTTATCTGTGTACTTTCAATGTTAAATGACCTTAGTTAGATGTAATTAGTATTTAATGAACATTCAGTCATATTAAATGCATGAACACATCTTGTAATATAATACCACATCTAGGCCAAAAAGTGCTAAATTGAGTCAATCGGATTCACTTCCTTGTAACAATATCAAGAAGAATAAACTAATAGCCAGATCAAAATAACAAACAAAAAATGATAACTTACTCGCTTCAATCCCAATCCTTGTTCATGCATATAACCTAAATTAAACATTGCTTGTGCATTATGATGTAGATCTGAAGCGATTCGATAATGTTGAATAGCTTTCTGGTAACTAACATCAGTACCAAGTCCATAATAATAGTAATCACCTAACTTCACACGAGAACTTGTGGAACCTATGTATAAAAGTACCAGTTAAATGAAAAAGGTAATATTTATTAATACTTGTTGGAATAATACGAAATAAATAAATTTGACCCTAATTCACTGAGTAACAATTAAAAAGACAATATGAAAAATAGATGAGTTAAAAAAATAACTTTCAGACTACAGTATTTTAGATATATTTCACTCAAGTCTCCCGAAACCCAGTAAGATGATGGCGTTTGAAGACGGACTTCGACTTGAAAATAAATCAAATGGATTGATACTGGAGAAGGCATTTGTTTTAATAGATTGAGACAGAGTAGAAGACTTTAAAAGCCCAAAACAGAAACATGCAATTTCACAATGTGTTTTGCAACTAGAGTTCGATGCATATTAGAAATTAGTCGTCAAATACATTCATATCAAAGATGACTTCGATAAATATTCTGAAGATTGATAAATTCCTTTCTGTGATTTATGTGCATTTAATTAACTCTTTTTTCATTTAATCGGTTTTATTATTATTATTATTATTATTATTTGAACACATAAATATTGGTACAAGAGAGCGCCAATATATATGCGCCATACATACATCTATACTAATGATAACATAATATCATCGTTAGTTTTTTCACTGCTTAACGAATACAGTATGCATGAATAAAACTATATACATCACCAGTTGCTTTGATGACCTTTTACTGAGAGTTTAAAAGTAGTATCTTTGTAATTCTAAAATGAATTCCTATACGATAGATTTGTTTATAATCTAAAAATTTCCGAAAAGTTTAAACCTCACAGTATATTCAGTCAGTTAATCATCGAAAATTGGCTTTAAATATGAAACGACCACTTTTTTCAACCACGCTTTCATACATACACTTTACAATCAAACCAAAAATTATCATACTTTATACCACAACCATACTAATCTTGGAGCGCCAGATCTGGTTGTAATAACTCTCAATGTCGATATAATCGCTTTACATAGGGGAACAGACAACTTTAATCTATGAGGTTCCGATAAAGTAAATATTTTCTGAGCAGTCAGTGATGTTCTCTATGAGTATTAGAAGACTAAGCCATGGGCACTGAAGAATGCATTATCTGAGGAAGAATAAAATCATATCAGTAAACGATTGTAGGAGTATCAATTAAATCTTTGTCTGGAATTACTCTGACCGAATACCCGTTCACCAGGAAAAATATGAGTACAAAAGTGAAAGTTATACTGATTTGAAAAAAGAGACCGTAATTGGTAGAACTGGAATTATTGAAGTACGATAAATTAAATAAGATAAAGTCTGCATATATCTTCAGGATGTTCCCATGTACTCAAGACAACATCATCTTATTTGTGTCACTACATAGGCCAATTTTTAAATTGTTTCTTAATTTAAGGGCTAACTTCATCACACACTAAGAATCATCTGGAGAACCAGTGAGAAATTTGGGACAAATTGGGCAGCTGACTCGTCTTAGCAGTGCGCACTAGGGACCACATATGACACCGACGTCGAAATTTCCAGATATGGAGAGAACGATATCAATAAACTATTGAGGCGAAACTATAATTCAGTAGCAGTAGTACTTGTACAAACAATAATATCCTAGGACTATGACTAGGAGTCAAAATAAAAAAGAAAATTTGTTTCTTGCTTAAATCTATCCTTTTTTTAATATGTCATAAGATGATTGGTGATTTTAGACTATTCATCTCAAATCACTGCAGACGAACATTTTCGACTGATGTGGAATAGGGGATATATACCATACAGCCTTGATGTAGTAGTAATCATTTTATTTCAAATTGATGAAGAGATGTATACACACATATACACAATGTTGACGATAATTAACACAGCTAAATTACAATATACTCAATCTATAAAATATTGAGAAAAGTAAGGAATCTACCTTGTGTCGCAGATCGTTGCCATTGTGTAAACGCACGTTTGTGAATTTCATTATTTGGAATTCCCGTAGCTTTTTCTACTAATGCAAAAAAATTGACACAGAAAGATACGTATTATTTCTATTTAATATTTAATATAAGCCATTGACAATAGATCAAAAGTATTTTCTCCAATCATATCTTGAGTAGTGGCTAGTAGTAGAATTTATAAAACTCGTTACGCACTACATGAGGTTCTTCAGCTGGATGTCAAAGAAGCACATCAGTGTCTACGTTCACATCAAAAATCGGACTAATTACCCCTAGCTTTAAACATATAAATTCACGGACGTCGCGCGGCGCCAGTGAATGACCAGATTTTGTTCTGAATATTAACAACAGAAGAACACAAATCTCTATGAGCAATAACAAATTCCATGAATTGTTGGAAACATTTTTGTATGATCTTTAATGTATTTTATTTACTCAACTCATTTATCAGGTACAAATTTATAAACCTCGCTTTCAGGCATACTTTAGGTGCAAGGACCAGTGATATTACTCAGTCGCCTAAACAAAAGTAGACGAAGTGGATATCGAACCTGTGACTTAGTGGTTGAAAGTAAAAAACATTAACCGTTGAGCCTACCAAAACACTTTAAACAGCTTTAGACTAATGAAATCACAGGTTGTTCGTATAGAAACTAAAATAAAAAGTTGAATCATCAGTTATAAAATACATACATAGAAAATACTTGCCTTCTTCTAGGATGAAAGCTACATTACTTTGAGCCACTTCGTAACCGAGTTCTGCTAATAGTTGGTATGTAACGAATGCTTCATGATAACGACGATTGCGAAAAGCAGAATAAGCAGACATGAACATTTTCGACCAACGACCACGTTCAGCTACATTTTTAAAAAGCTGAATATAAATGTTTAACAGGCGTAAAATAGGACTAATATTTGTCCGAAACTGATCACTGAAAATTATTTCCTAAGTTTATAAGTCCATAAAAATCCTTCCTAATTTAGTCACGGATATAAAAAATTATATATAAATGAGTGGAACTCGTCAATACCCATCAACTTTCTTGACAAGAAAGCGTTTGATAGAGTAGATAGAACATTCTGGGGCGATATTAGACACTATGATGTACCTGAGATAATTGTCATCATGTGGAATTCTTACGGTGGACTACACTGCAAAGTCAGGCATAGAGGACAGCTGACAGATGCATTCCAAGTCAGGACCAGAGTCAAACAAGACTGCTTACTCTCTCTCTCGAACGCGTCTTTCTCGTTCTTCTGGTGGTTGACTGGATTGTGAAGACTACCACATCTGAGGAGAAGCATGAAATATAGTGGACAGCTTGCATGCAACTACATGAATTGGACTTCACAGATGACCTGGTTCTTCTATCTCGTATACACGAACAAACGCAGGTTAAGACAGCCAGTGTAGCAGATACCTCTGCATCAGTAGGCCTCAACATACACAGGATATATATATATATATATATATATATATATATATATATATTCAGCATTAGAGATATAAACCTGACGTTGCAATCTCAAAGTTAACTCACTGCAAAAGTTGGGAAAAATTTGTTAGAGAACACTATTTTATTACGATGAATGCACATGTTCAGAATAGCATATTTTCTATAAAGGATTCAGTTAACTACTAACAAGTAGTAAGATGTGACATACTTAGGATTACAGAAACTAAACTAATTATGGGGTTGAAAGAATAGGATAATTCTTATTTATAAGGATAATTCGAAAATGAGATATTAGAATTTCAACATGTGTCTTTTACTACGTAATCACTAAAATTGTAATTAATTTATAGTCATCATTATTAAACAAAGTTTCTGATGTAGATACTAAAAATGAAAAATACTGTTGCTTGATATCCATAAAGTCTGAATAGTTGGAGTCAACTAAGTAAGACTTTACTACTGCAATTACCTGAACATTCGTGAACACTTTAGGTCTTGATTGCATATAATTTAAATGGTTAAAACTATAGAAAGCATCAAAACTAGTGATAATAAACGATCAAGTGTAAGATTATTGATTAATTCAATATGACAATTGTTCACCATAAAATTTGATCGAATTTTGATAAATTAAGTTATCAACTATTTCAGTATGTTGTTCGTTATTGTATTCCGATCATTTTTACTATGCATTCACTCAGCTTAGATATTTGTTCAGTAGAAAAACCGTCCTAAGTTATGATTATTTGAATATAATAGTCAATAAAAATATTGTACATAGAGAGCTATTTTTCCACAAAATACATTCTTCCCGATCGCAGACTGGACTTATCTTTTGCCATCTTAATAGCTGGGGGTTGGGTCAAGAGCATTGGAGACACAGAGTTGAAGAGTCATTGCGGCTACCTTCGGGTCCATTATTAAACTGATATTACGGATTGAGCAGCAAAGAAAAGGTCATAACAGTGTCAACGAAGTTCATCTACAAGGTCCTGTTTAAGTGATATCTAGTCCAAAACATAACAGCTTCCCTTCTGATTAGGTTATAGCAATGGTACTGGTTAGTTAATAACTAATGTCAGTTGATTAAGATTGAAATTTAATGTTTCAATAATAGATGAAATTGAAAGAACCTGTGACTTAGCCTCTATGTCCTGCAACATCGGACCGACCTGCTGCACACTCTGCACTGTCATCGACAGAACAAACCTTTTAAAATATATTGAGGAGGTTTCTTTGGTCCTATTTCTGACATCCCTTTTGGCTCTCGCTTCAAATGTTATGAAAATTTGTTCCAAGTTGAATTTGCTAACCAACATAACGAATGGAAAATACAACTGCTGCTACGTAAATTTAGTATCACAGATTACGAAAAGTACTTAAACTTTATACTCGTGTATCGTTTACACGATTTCAATTTTGAAGACACGGTAGACATTGTCTTAGATTTTCGGGAACGTCTTTACTTTTTAATACGCCATATCAATGTATGAAGCTAACAAAACGGGAAACTGATGGTTTTGTCACCTATACAAAAGTTATTAATGAAGAATGTAAACGTTTTAAGTCACGATCGCTTAAGGACGTTAAATACACCTTACATCAACCCAAAATAAAGACTTAGTTCGTATTCAATACTATCTAAGCGAATAACATAATTTAATGATTTTTACCATTTTATCTAGTTTAGAAAAGATTAGAAAAACTATTATAAATGTACAACAGACTAAATTTGTCAAGAATATTACAGTAAGTGGTAAAGAACAAAATTGAAATAAAAACAACTGAACCCATAGTGGTATGCTAATTTGTTAACCTACTCAAGAAATAATATTGAACCAAGGATTATATGTGCAAGAATAAAATGTTTACTTACTTCGGCTGCGGTGCTACAGGATCGTAATACTCCTGTACCTTTGGCATGCATCTCAGCTAGATGATAGAAAGCCATTACATTACCCTGTTGTGATGCCATAGTGAAATACTTCAAAGCTGATTTGTAATCAGTTTTTATTCCATGAGTACCTATATGTTATGATGAGGAAAATTGTTTAACTTTACTTACTTAGTAGCAAAATCTTTTATAGGAAGTTAATTTTTCACAGAGTAACATTTAGACACAAAAACGATTTTAGATGGACGTTATTCTGAACAATGGCTGATCTCCATTTACCGATCACTTGAGTGATGAGATTCTAATATATATTGCTGTGAATATTTTTAACTTATATCAAAGTGAAAACGTATCACAGAGATATTCAAAAAGTAACAACCTTCTTCATTACGTTAGCACTCAAACACGAAATAGGTGATTACTGGAATTTGTAATGTATCAGGCTAAATCAATTAAAAGACAGTTTAATAAAGAACAAATAACGTACAAAAATGACGAAAAATTCGTTGTTCTGTTTATATATCATTCAATTAGATATATAAGCCATGATGCCCCAAATGCCCTGGTATGGCCGAGAGTGGGGTGGGCCCGTCCTCCCTCTCGAAATGCTCTCGGATGGCCACGCGTATACAGCCTCTGCCAGGAAAGTCCTACTCATTGCCTTCTCGTGGCGGGGGTGTTGTTTACAAAAATGAGAAGACGAAAAGCGAATATCCGGCGCTTTAACCGGATCCCAAACCAATGGTGCACATAGGCTCCAGTATCCTGGGGGAACAAATGGCGTATGAACCAATCGCTGGTCACCGACTACCATGGGACTGCATCTCCTCACGATGCTCCACTGCCTTGTAGGTCAGACCTTAAGGTCAAAGGCTCAGAGTGTGGCCCCCTAAGAAAACCACCTGTCTCGGTCTGGACACTCGGGCAGTATCACCTACCACGATTTCCGTCAAATTTCCCTAGACGACTAAAACTGATGTACACGGAAGTTGACTGTATGCCAAAATTGACATACTGTGTATGTAAATTATTTTTAAAGGCCTCAGTTTAATGTCGTACTTAACTTATACACAAGTTTGATTGGAATCAAGAGATGGACGGATGTATTATGTCCCCGTAAGTAGTTTTGAGAATTAAGCGATAACTGAAAAAATAATTAACAATATCCACCTTACAGATGGAGAACAAATCTGAATACTGATATTTCGTGATTTGCTCATCTGAAGCACTTAAAACATTATTCTGGTAAAAATCCGAAAATATAACTAGTCTTTTAAAAAATAAACGTAAAAATCTCCAGTACAACGAGTATCTATGAAACGAATATGATGGTTGGCAACCTTACCATTACCTAAGAATAGACGACCAAGATGTAATTGAGCTTCAGGCCAACCTTGATCTGCAGCTTTCAGAAATAACTCCATTGCGATAACTGGTTTAACCGGTAAACCGGCTCGACCATATAAGTAGGCCAACGCCAAACCTGTTTGCCCTATTGGATTATTCTCCTCGGCTGATTTACGTAAATATTTCAAGGCTTTCGTCGAATCGGCAGGTACAGCTGTGCTACCGACCATGTACATCTTTAAGAAAAAGTAAAAATAACTCTAAAAATATCTTCTAAAACTAACAAATACATTATTGGGGTCAAACATAAATGGACTTGAAGAGTATTTAAAGAACTACCCTAATAGTGAGTAAAGTTACCCAAAGGCTGGCGAAACCTCTAGTGCATAAACATTAAGTTAAGTTTCTCACAGTGTCTTAACATTCATCGGTTTATTCCGGAAGATTAAGAGTACAATAACATCCATTTATAATCAATCCTAAGGTCAAATCAGTGTAAATAGCCATTCGATAGGAAACGTTATTTTGAAATATAGGCTTTGGTAACATATACACTTTTTGTGTACGTCAGTTTTATGAGAGTATTCATTACCGACACTAAGAGTATGAAGTAAAAGTGAAGAGGTGGCCAGTTTGCCATATGGTTTCATAGGATGAAGAATAGTGATATTGATTCATCGTGATTATATACCAAATCATTAGCATACATAGCTCAGAATAAAAACACATTTTTTATTAAATGTATTTCATAAACATTAAGGTTTACTTTAGTGACGACTAGTATCTATTTTAGCTGCTTTTATGCAAATCATTATTTCTCGTAACATTCATTTGTTGTGTGACTTCATATTGTACAGTGCATATTTTGTTATTAAATCATGTCACAATTTTTTACTCCAAATGGTAATGTTAATAAAAATAATCGTATTTAAGTCTACAAAGAGATTCAACGCCGTCAAATACCAGTGACAGCTAAAATTATTAAACAACACACAAATTGTTTGTTTCAAAATTTCTCAGTATTTTAATGAGATTTTAGTGGATTTTCACATTATCACTAACTTACTAGTGATGATGTAGCTGCTTACAAATGAACGGATTTATGAGGACCTACATCATTTAATATCAAATGTGGTGATGTAGTATAGTTTCTTTTTAAATAATGTGTCAAATGGTAACCTCTTGAAACATCAAATTTGTTGAAAAAGCGCATTAGGAGTAATAATAGTGAAATTAAGAATGTTTCAGTTAGTTAACCAAAAGTAAAATAAAACCTGACACATATGTTTGTTAATTCAAGCCGACACATTACATTAGCACAGTCAAATGATGTTATCAAGACAAATGTCAAGGTATCAGAAGTAGAACAGTATCGGTGATATTAGAAAAAATCACGCATAGATATCACTCGATAAAAATGAAATAATGGAACAAAAAAAGCACAAGATATTTTTAAGATTCAATATCTAAAAAAATACAAATAGTTAGTGCATCCGTGCCGTTGTAACTCATCCTGAGCCATATCATTCAGCGTTTTCAACCATTGGTTATGAAAATCTCAGACAGTTCGAACCTACCTATAAGGCTCGAGTGTTAACAACGACAAATTAGGAAAACAATGTTGAGATCGTTTTAAAAACTAATTGCAACAATTTTACATACCTCGCCTAAATAAGCCATGGCTATGGCGCTTCCAGATTCAGCAGCCAGATTAAAGTAATAAAAAGCTTTTTCATGATTCATTTCAACACCATGTCTACCATAATAATACAACTGACCCAATCCAACCATAGCACTAACATTCTTTTTGTAAGCCATAAACTGATAATATTGGAACAGATCCTCACTGATTGTAAGATCACCACCATCTAAACTACCCATTGCATCTATTTCGTCTAAAAGACGAGCACGTCTAACCATAGGTCCAAGAAGAGTTGGACCACCAGATTCAGAGCGTTCGGAAACTTCTTTAAAGACGACTTGAGCCACACGATGATAATGTGTTAGTGCTGCTTCACAATCTTCTTCAACACCAACACCAGTCCAGTAACGATAGCCCTAAACGAAATAAGGAAATGAAAAATAGTAAAATTTCCCGTATTCTGTAAATCTTCAGTCAAACAACGATGATCCCGATTTCCTACAACGATATTAGCTTGAACCTACTTCCGAAATCTTAAAATCAAACACAAGCACAAATCACTGAGGACAGCGAAAGCCAGTGGTTTGTTACAATCATAACTCTGGGTATTCTGAAGCTTCAGATACTCAATTCTTTATTTGTTTTTACAGTAAAATTTCTAAGACTGATAGAGAGCCTGTCGTTACAGGCACCGCAAAAAAAAACATTTAAATAGTAGTTACCAAATACCAAAAGCTTAATTAATAGGGTTGTGGTGGCTTCCCCAGGATGGGTGTTAAAAACCTAGAGGTTGAGCTTTTATAAGTGGATATATTAAGGTTATCCGCATGAATATATTGAAACCCCCATCATTTTTGTAAATGAAAACTTGTGAGACCAGAAAGTTATCAGCAACTGAAGTCAATTTAAGTATATTACTTACCAAAGCCATATCAGCAAAATTATCTCCTCCAAGAGCCGAAAATGTTAAATATATCAATGCATGTGGAATACTTGCATTAACGTGTAATCCGGACGCATACAAAAATCCCAGGCCAAACTGACCGCGAGGGTTGCCTTCATTAGACAGCTCTTCGAACGCAGAATATGCGCTTTTAAAAGGGTCTGCAGTGTAACCTCCAAGCAATGTCAGCATAGCCACTTGTTCCCTTGCCTTTGTATGACCCTGTCTGGAAGCTTCGTTCAAGAGTTCTAGTGCACTGTTTGACAGAGAACACAATATGCAATATATATAACGCATGTTTCGTAAAGACGGTAGTGAATCAAATGCATTTGGGATATCAGTTTGAATTTAAAATACGACTACGAACGGATAACGAAACATAATAAACAAGTAATGCAGTACACATACGTTTTATCAGCAGATGTCTTGTGATTTTCTGTCTCCAAAATACTCATAGCTTCGTCATACAAACGCTGAGCAACACTTTGTTCCGAATCTTCATGCTCATCAGGTGGCGAATGAATGCTTTTCATTGTGTTTTCATCTAAAAGAGTTGCAATTTGTATTGCGGCTTACCATTAATCGATGGGATGCTTTGGGAGCCCGGAAAATCGTTCGCAGTTGAATCATGTTGAGACTCATCTGTCGATTCTTGGTCTATCAAATACTAAAATGATGTGAAAGCAATTACTTTCATCCTTCATATTTGAATCAAGTGGATCATCTTGTGATTCTGACTCAACATTTATATCTTCCTTATCCTTTGGAATTTGAGGGAACACTTTAAATATTATTAAGATAATTTAAATTCATTACATAGGTCTGGATTAAGAAGATCACGTAGGAATTTTTCGACAGTTTCCGGATCATCAAATTGCTCTATATGGTTTTTGATTTCCTTTTTGTCTGGAGTTATTGATACACGAGTATCACCTAAAGTGTGTTGGAAATAGATCTTATTATATTTCTTAAAACGGAAGAATACTAGGTTTTTGGAACGTTGTTTGAAATAGTATAACATTGAGAATGTATACGCACAACAAAGAGTACCATAACTCGGTAATTAAAAGTATGTAAAGGGACAGCATATCAAGTAAAATGAATGAGAACTAATCAAATATCTACACAAATAGCCGGTATGTCAGTGGAAAATATCTTATATTGTTGCAACTGGGTTACAAAGCAACAAGATCAAGCAATAGGTTACACGATTTCGCACTACTTTCCATTTTATCTGCACTGCTATTTCAAGTTTTAACACATTCCACTGCCATTTACATAACACCTGGCCTTTTAATTTGGATGGGAAATACAAAGGTCGCTTTTGGAAATGTGTGTTATCTACTCTACCGATTTAAAACCACAATTATGAAAACCTTTGGGATCTTAGTTACAAAACAAATAGGATTCCATAAAATTTGATAATTATTGATCCAGCTTGTGGGTTTGGTAAGTAGCATTTCACAGAATAACTGCACAAAAGGATCAGGTATAGCTAAAATAGAGCTTAAAACTGATAAGACTTCATGACTAGTCGTAATTCCTCAAAGTGGATGTGATCCTTCTATGTATGCTTCTTCGAATGTCTAGTCTTCTCTTGAACGAGTCAAATGAATGTGCAAACACCACTGCCTCGAGCAAGTGGTTCCAAGAATTGATGAGTCGGTGTGAAAACTTGCATGCTACGGGTATTTTATTCGTTTCCGGCTTTCCTACTCGCCTGCTAAGTTTTCTGAGATGTCTCGATCTAGTGGGAAGAAAAGAGAGGATATATTAGGTCCAAAGTTATAAACTACAAAAATCGGTGAACTTCAGTCATTACAGGGATACTATGCAACACAAATTAGGTCGAGATGCTTTAGTCTCCAAAGCATTAGGTCGGTGCATGCACTTCAAGAATTATACTCTTACTTAGAAGTCAGAATAAGGGAAGCCTTGAAAAAGTGTTAAGTTATACATAAACCATCATTATTTGGAGCGATTAAAGAAAACATTTATTTTGATATATAAAAAGAGCAATTAGGAAGGTATGTGTCTGATAAATCCATATGGACGGAAAATTCCAACTGTGCATTGCATGCATACTTACCACTTTTTCTCTTCGTCTTCAAGTCTTCCGATAAAACAACAGAGAAGGACACTGTAAGAATGACCACAATTCTGATGAATAAGCATGGCGAACCACAAGGATGGTTTGAAAAACCGAAGGAAAACATATCGCGTAATAACCAGAAAACGCGCCACGAATTGAAACGCGTGGGTTTTCTATTCGCTGAATAGCCTAAGGTCATCCAATAAACTGAGATCCAACCACAGGTCGTACGGTGTTTTTTTTTAAAGTTCCCTACTATCCTAGTAACGTTCATATCTGTGTCTGAACTTCATTTTCAATTGTGCAAAATATTCAAAGCCCTATAGTTTTTTTAAAGTGAACGAATATTCTCCAGTAGTAGTCCAATAACTTGTTGTTGAACATGTATGGACGTACTGACCTTTCTATGCTCAAATCTCGATTTTCTGTAGCGATTTCACTTGATGTGTTCAAAATTATAACGCTTTAAAATTGATAGGAATGAGACATGTTTCCACTTGTAATGGAGAGTAAACTCCCGAATAAATAGTTCTGTAAGTCTTCAACGTTGAAAGTAACCATATTGATTTTACTGAATACGCTTCTCACTGAAGGCGCTCTATCAAGCATCTGCCCTAAATCGCTTTCCGTTACGCAACGCTGCTCAAATTGTTAGACTAGATCATCTACTTCTCGGGCAATCAACCAACTTCTACATATATATTCAAACCCCCACATGTTTCTTGGCTTTACTGTGTGTGAAGGAGAGCAGCGTTATCAACAATGAATACATGTGACATGTTTACATTTATTTTCTCTATAATTCGTTTGAAAATTTAGAAACTCGTAGATTCCTTATCTGGAAGGGATCTCAGCGGTTGCTACGGTCTTGCATTTTGTTAGAATAACCCTGATTTGACTTCTTTGATGCAAGATGAGTTAGACTTTATATGTTCAGTTAACCATAGCTTATGAAGTGAGCACCAAGTTATGAAAGTAGACTGATGTAATTACCTGACTGAGTATGCTGGTTTTCATGTTGATTTCAAATAATCAATACAACCAAAAAACCAAACAGTTTCAAGGCAGAACGAGTTTTGCAAGCAAACAAGAATATATTGATTATAATTATGAAGAAAAAATGATTCTGTAGCGGTTAATAAATTTCAGAAATAAATAGCTCTGTACGTTTTCGACAATGGATGCTGACCACATAAGTTTTAATGGACTCACCTGGCCGAAGGCGCTCGGTCATGCATCCGCAACATATCACGAGTGGAAACGACGTGCTCAACAACCCTGCAATCGCTAGCTAGATAATATCAAACGATCCACGATATATAGATAGCCTATCAAAATTATCTACGAACCTCCTAGTTTCTATCTTTTAATTTCACTTGGTGGATACGATTCATATTAGTAGGTGTTACTGATTAAAGCATTGTCAAACTCCGAATGCCTGTGGTATCTTTAATTCTTGCCACAATCTAGGGACGAAATGAGTTTCGAACCTCGACATAAAGATTAACAGAAGTCCAGTAACAAGTTCAAGCATGTAAGAAACTAAAAGATAGAGGTAAACACTAGAAGTGAACAAATATATTCAGTTCAAAAATGTGAATGGTTATATTATTAATTTTTCGTCGGTTCGACATGTCAAGTGTCCTAGCAACACACCAACATCATCAACCCTACCATAATTCCCAAGTTAATACGTTCTTTCGGAAGCTTGGTTTTGGAAATGCTGAATGAAAACCGAACCCGGGTAGGTTTATACCTAGTAAACATGAAGCTCTCGTCGTTTGGTTAGTGAAAATACAGTTACTTCTGAAGCCTATCTTTTACTGCTTCAAAAAGCCAAATGAGTTACATTTTCAGATATTATTAGTCCTTGTTATCGTTAGGAAGCTTAAAGTTGTCATCTATGGAGAGATTTCCAAACTGTACGAGACAAAGTCAAAACTCTTAGAATCATATTTTCATAATTCTTGAACAACATTAACTGGACCGCTATGATTTTGCTTTGGTTAAGATTTACCCTTGTTGCCTAATTTTGTTACAGCTTGATGCCGAACCATTGGCGATAAGATTGTGTAGGACTGAATTCGGAGTTCATTTTTTGCACTAGAGCCGTATAAATTAGGCATAAAATTTGCTTTGACGTAATAGTTTAGTGTGAATTACTCAAGTGAGTGTAATACGCTACACAAAAGAACATATCACGGGCTAACCTAGTTTTCATATATTTCTTTTTGGATCATCTGCGTTCAGATCAAATTCCAGGATTTGGGTCGCAACTATTCGTATTAGGCTTTTTAATTTATTATATTTGGTTGATCTAAGTCATACCCAAGTATGTGTAAGGAATGGCTTCAGGTTGACTTTGCATGAGATTCATGATACTTTAGAGCTGGTAAATCATAGGAAATTTTGAAGGTGTTGGATTTTATGAGATGAACTTAAAGAATTCGATTGACCATTGTGTGTGAATCTCAACATAGTTGTTTTCATAGATTTTAGACATTTTTATTTTGTGGAAACCATGAACCCATCGAAGTCAAAATACCACTGAGACCAAAAAGCACAAAGAAATCGATTTGTCTTAGTGCGATGCTTTTCAGCAGCAGACTAGAACCTAAGACATGTCGAGCTTCAAACGGCAACCCGCCTAAGCAAATGAGTGGTTCTTGCGCAATGTTGAAGATTGATTGGGCCCAGGCGTCATTACTGTTGGATCACAGCGCAGCGGTCAAAATATTGAGCGTTTGCACACGAAACTGGTGGTGACGAGTTCTAATCCGTCGCGCGAGATTATGAAGTCCCTCTGCCGAGGAGCCCCATACCAGGACAAAACCCCTATCCAGTGCTCTCAGGATTCCAGTGGTGGTCATGTAGTAGTGCTGGTTCCCAACCATACGATCCTTGAAGTCGAACATACCGTAACAGAGATTAACATTCAATATTTAACACTTGGAGGTCAAAATTGTGAGCGCAGAAAGACCTTATCTATATGGTATTTATATGGCAAAAAGAGCCACATCATCCAGCTCACAGACCGATAGCCCACCACAGTTAAAACGTTTTAACAATCACGATGAGTTATAAATTAACGGTACATTCAACAGTAGCCTCGAACTCAACGGACTGACAATAGAAAGACTCATTTTCACGACGCACAGTAAAAATAAATCTAGATAATTACGGACTGTTCTCCTTGAACCTGACCAAAGGATGGACAAGTGAAAATGACCAATATCAAAGTTGATAATTTCCTTATCCTCTGTATTACTCATCAGTTCAGGTTATAATACTTCCCAATTTTCTATCACCGCTATAAGACACATTAAGCCCCTAGAAGCATAGTTCTTTTCTATTAATTGAACAATTTTTATGATCAGTAAAACATTTATTCGATCATCGTAAAAAAGTCAGGTTAAGAGACTACTGTAAAAAAATCTCTCCCAGATACTCTCGAAATAACTTGCAAGACAACGTACTACTGCATGAGCAGCTGGGGGAAATTTTCAAAACATATGACTGAGGGAATTCAAACAATCATTAAAAATACAACAAACAACCTACGGGAAATAGAGCGATCTGTAATGACATTGGGCTCTTGTAGTGGCATTGAACTATAACCACACAATCCTCAAAGCTAAATACGAGATTACTCAGAAAATAGATCTTCAATATTTAACACGGGGAAATACCTTATGATGGAAAAGGCGGGAACAATGGATTGAATTGACTGGAGTTGACCGAATGGCATGGCTCGGCCATGCAGGTGTGGTCCTTGTTGAATGTTACATCATATCTTCTATTCAGATTAAATATATTGTTCTTTCTCTAGTCTAAACTTGTTCTACATCATGTATTGGTAATTGATACGATACAGTGAGTTGGTGTAGTCGATGGTGTGACTTCCACGTAAGATCTTATAGATTAGGCAGTTATATCTTAACAAATCCACGATTTTAGGATTAGGTCTATTATTAACGCAGTACTAATATCATAGTAGACCATAATTCAACACTCTAACCACACAATCCTCAAAGCTGAACACGAGATAACATTTAGGGCAGGGAAAACCCAATGAGAAAGTAAGGGGAATAAATTCACTTAATTCAAATTCATGGAATGGTATTGCTCGGCCTTGCAGGAGGGATCATTCTTGTGCAACGTTTATCCATATTACATGTATTGTTCTATCTTCAGCCTAAACGCTTTCTTCATCATATACTGATGACTGTGACGATACGATGAGTCGGTGTAAACAACGATGTGACTTCCACGTATGATCTTATATATTAGTGTGATGTTTGAGTGATTTAATGATTCCTTTGTATTTGTTAAATGCTTGATTTCGAATTCTAAATACAGTACGTTCTTGTCTAGTACTTCTTGACTCATTTACGTTATTTCTGGGATTCTTAGTTCGTACTATAATTCAAATACTTCTACTTATTATATTGGCGTCGCTATGGAGCCTGCGATAGAAAAGTTAGATATTCATTCAACTTCTGAAGCTTTTGAGGATTACTTAGAAAAGTTTGAACTGTGGGCTGTGACCAAGGAAGATGCTGAGGATGTTAATATGGTAGCACATTTCCTCACTGTCATTGGAAAAAAGCGTACAGCTTATTAAGAACTCTGGCTATGTCGGAAAAGCCTATCTCGCTTCCTTATACAACTCTCAAGGAACTGCTGCTAGACTGTGTTAAGTATACAGATTTCAAATGCGGTAAAGGAAGAAGATCTCGTAAAATGATCCATGAGGATACGAAAATTTTCACTACATTAAGTCATCTCAACTCAGTGCATACCGAAGGATATACAGATAATTCATTGAGGAGTTGCTAGGCAGTTCATGAAGATGAGCACAACTGTGGTCGATGTTTGTCCTGTGGCAGGTTCCACTCATTTAATTCATGTAAACTTCATAATTCTAAGAGCCTTAATGAGGTGATATTGGACATATCCAGTCAGTTTGTAATACTACTGTTAATCTTGCTGCAACTAATATTAAGTATTGTAATTCCGATTATATTAATTTGAGTATTTATAATGATCATTTATCTTTATCAACGATTTCAAAAGACAATGTAGTCACATAGCAGTTCAGAGTTAAATGAAACTCAGAATCCCTTCGGTTGTTAATTCTAATACTGATGAGTGTATTTTAGAAAATATAGATTTTTTATCCAATACCATGTCGGACAGACACAGGATGAACCT